TAACTACAATGGAGACTAGATGCATTGAAATAAAAAATATACTACTATCTATAGGAAGATAAGATTACCAGGATTTCTCAAGTGGCATTATATAGATTACAGAGAAACAGCTGTTATCATTAATAAAACAAACTGCAGGCTGTTCAGGAAAGCTAATTTTCAAAAAAGCTGCATATGTAATACAGCAATCATTTTTGAGAAATACAAGATAAATTTCTGTAAATTTGAGAATCCCTGATACACAGCATACAGAATCCATGCGGTACTAATAGGGAAACATATATGAGGAGGCCTGAAACAAATACAAACTACAATAAATTACTAGTCCAGGGGTTAAAGTGAACCTCAGTTTCATCTTGGGGGAAGAATGGGGTCGCCGATATACATCCCCAATTCTTGGTGAGCCAATATAGCTTCCACTGGCGCCTGAACCAGGACGAGGTATGGGGGAACCAGCTCGAGGACTATCACGTATCCCAAGGGGAGGAGTCATCTGCAAAGCAGAAAACCCTCCAATGCCTGGTGCATGAAAATGCCTGCCTTGAAGAGGTGGTGTGGCATATGGCCCAGGGGTGCTAATGGGATGCTTCTCCACCTGCAGTGCGCTCATAACCACCGCTTCACGATTATGATACCTGAAATAGTGGCCCCAACACTTTATTCCTGACAGGGTTACATTTGCACATGTGTGTCTTTGATTGCAAGGTAAGCATGGTATTATATGACAAGCAAAACACAATACCTCAAAGAGCTAACTTAAAATTACAATTCTGCTTGGTAGTAAATTGATTTTAATAAATTACTACAAAAAATAAATAGGTAAATTCATTAAGTATAAATTATTTTAATATGCAAGGCCAATTTTAAAATTAAAATTGTCCACTTATAAAGTGCAACAGTCTTGAATCCTACCCTTCATTGCAACTATACAGTAATAGCAATCAATCTCAGAATCACATGAAAATATAGACATCTTTTCAGTTTAACAATACAAATGGGCAAATGCATCCTTTAGGGTGATATCAAAAGGCTCCTTTTTGTGTTCTGCTGTGTAGATATATTCAATACGCTGCAAATGAAGCTAGTGACAGCTAGACTGTATGGTGGTAACAGAAGGAAAGACAATGCTTTCAGAAATGGACAGTGAGTAAGTATTGCTACAACACGAGTCATTTTCCTGAGATCACAAAGTTCTATAAAATTATTATGTGAGATATAAAGTCTGTAATTTTTGGGCACATATAACTTTCATTAAGCAATATTTCTCTCAGGCAAGAACTTCCCAAGATCCACACAAAAATGTACAGAGACCCATAAGTAATGGCCCTAAAACAAACTGAAGTGAAGGACACAAATGGCAATACATAAAAGAGTATAACAGAAATACCTTACATCAAAATCTTCAAAGGACTCATCAAATTAACATAAGTGGCCATGACAATGCATCTAACTTGCATCAAACTAAATCAAAAATGACCCAAAAAATGTAGTGATGACTACAGTGATGACTGCTGCAGTCTGGCTAGTAGTGTGCACCAACAACTAAAATTGGAGGAATATAAAAGAAACGTTTTACTATGTAACACAAGAGTGGCTTAATATTATTATTATTCCATCTATTCGCCATTTTACAGGGTATTTACTTCTATGTACCTGAGACAAACCTTGCCCCTGAGGTACATAGTGCAGCAGCTATTTCTGAAATACATTTTGTTTTTTAATACGTGTTACATGCATCGAACAGATATCATGTGAGGCATTACATATTTTACATGAGCATCTTTCGAATGATGTATGATGTTCCTAGAATGGAGACTTTCTGAAGTTCCTTAATGTAGTGTTCGCAGCATGTTAAAATTTCAAAGTTATGTTATTCACAAAGTACAAACAAAACTTCTTGTACACACATTACCTATGCTGATGAATTTCACATGTTTCAAATGTCATAATGTTCATTAAGGTTTTCTTGTATTTATATATTATAAAGAGGTAGTATGAAATGGGTGAATTCATTTGTAACACATCACTAATTTAAGTTAACCCTTTGTTTATAATATGAAAAATCCTTACAGTAGTGTGAACTGTACTACATACATACATACATACATATGATTATTCCACGTCCTATTGTAATCTGACTAACCTACGGATCCATGAAATGCAATAAAGATAGATGTGTTTGGAAAATGCTCATTCTAAAAATAACAGATATGACATAATATTTAAACTTCTGTGAAAACCATTTCATAAACTTCTCTTGTACTTTGGGTGCCTTTGACATTCAAGGAATAAACAAGCAGCCTTGATGTAGTGTTTTAAATGATCACCAGTTTTGACAGTTTAAAAAGAAAAACGAATTTGTCCCTCTCCTCATAAAATAAAAAACCTATTATTGAAAAATTGAGAAAACTTTATGGAGCCCAAACATCTAAAGAGGAAAATGAAAAATGTGAACCAGTTTGCATGACAAATTACGAATAAAACTTAACTGCATGTAAAGTATGTTTATCAATATATTTAAACAAGAAAAATATATCTGAAATGATGTATAATATTAAATATAGTGTATGTAAATTATTATATTCGTGAGAAAATAATCACAAACTGTTTTACTGTTTTTGTTTTCTGTCAAAGGTGCACTGTCAATTTGCATATATGCAAATGGATACCATTAAACAAATGCTTCAGAATTATTATTTTATAAATGAATATGAGTACAAAAGAACACTGTAGATTTTCTTTCCTCATTTTTCATTGTGACATACTGTTCAGAAAATATCAAATTCCACCTTATAACTTCAAGCCACATGTATCACAGGCATCAGTTAATCTTTGCAAGATTTTTTCTACATGATTAAATCACACAAATCAGTTAATCAGGATTCTTATTTAGGAAAGACAACTGTTGGTCCTATATTTTCTCAACAAGGTAAGCCACCTTTTGTGCAGATATGGCATATGCTTTGTGAGTTACAAGTCTTTGCACAAGCCACAGTACATTATTAAACATCAATATCCCCTTCTCGATTTTATAGGTAGTTTTATTCATAGCTCAAATCCCATCAGGAAGGGTATAGGACCAGAAAGTGTTAACCATTACAATGATCACATAAGAGACAAATATATCCCCCTACTCTCAACTGACATGTAAGTTAAATAAAAAATGCATCTGTACCAGACTTCATCAAAATCAATGATATGTGAACTAGATTTTGTATGTGATGAGCAAGATACTGTTCTACTACCTCTAAATTTGGATCCAGTGTCTTCACAATGTAATTTAATTTCTTCGGGGCTGCACTGCTAACTTACTTCATCAGCAGCGTCCTAATATGTGTATCAGACACAGTGGGAAACATGGCGCTGATCTTAGCAACTGATTGCTCTGTGTCAGTTGTCATAGAAGTCTCTGTTGTACGAGCTGGAGAAGCATATGGGTTGATAGGAAGACCTACTGCTCTACCAGCAATAGGACTTGGCCGAACATTTGTCAAATCCTAACCAGAAAAAGAAAAAGAAAAAAGAAGTGTATTAAGGAACATCTTCAACAAAAAATACAAGAAGTTGTGTGTTAATTGAAAGCAACATACAAGATAAAGCATGAAACATTTAACTCAAAGATGAAAGCCAAGAAATCAATGTGCAATATATGAATCTTCGAATTAAATTATGCACTTACAAATAAAGAACCACATAGTAGGATACTGTCTCAAGTTTCATGAAAAGCACTGATATCTCAGTACAACAGCTCATGAAAGCAATTTAAATTAATATTTAGAAAATGAGCTCTGACTTGTACCCTGTGACTGCCAATGTGTGGACAAAAATTGTCTCCCCATAAGGTGTCTGTAGAAACTGCCTAACAAGTAAATGAAGAATAATACATATTTACATGCTTCTAACATATCTCTGTCATATATCTGCCACTATGAAAGGTTGCATATTCAATTTTAGGCTGGTTTACAAAAGTATTATCAGCAATAACTGAGTAATTAAAGTATGTATCTTTCTTATAACTTTTGAACCAAAAGAACTACTTTCATGAAACTTCATGTAAAGAACATAACAGTGGATGACACTGTTTTCTAGATCATTACCTTCTCAATATCAACATGATGACAAAGCAAACACCTAAGCTGATAACTTGGTCAGCTATAATGCACATGATCACAAAATTCTGATCAATAATAATGTTAATAATAACAATAGCAAAAGCAGCAAAAATATCAACAAAGGACAACAATAACAAAAATTATTTTTTTATTATTTGTATGCCAACTCCAGCACAAGGTTGAAAACAGACCCTCAGAAAATTATAAAGAACACCAACAAAAAGAACAAAATATATACGCAATGGCCATGTGTTCAACTTAAGGCTTAAAAGGCCCAATCTAACAAGGTACAAGTGATACAGGCACACATCGAGGATGACAATCACAAAATACAGCAAAATAACTACTGCAACAATGATGTCAGCAACACAAAATAAATTAATCTCTTATTAGCAGTGTAAATGAACTGTTAATTTTAAGACATCATATGGCATTATGAATAACACCTATAATTTTAATGATTTAATGACTAAGCTTGGGGAAAAACTTTCATTCATCCATAACACAGGGCACTGAAAATTCCAAAAGAAAATACACAAGGCATTTTAGTCAGAAACCTGAAGAGAACAGACAACTTGGGAAATGGTGTACATAGTAGGATAATATTAAACTGGAACTTTGCTCCACAGAGTTACTCATTATTCGATGTAGACAGGTTCATCATACCTTGAGGAAACCTTAGGAAGTAAAGTCCAGTGTGTTCATTGAGATCTTCTGTATGGTATTCCCAGTCCTACGCCAAGCATATCTGCCGCCTGGGGGCAAGAACATTCTGCTGTCCCTTTGTATAAGTACTACAGTTTTATATTTTTTGATTATCAAGTTTAATTATGGATGGATTTCTGTTCTTTTTGGCGCCTCTCCAACCATGGCTCCCATAGGCAAATGCATACTTTGCTACCCTATGGTGCCACCCCTGATTTTTGGCACTCCAATGCAATGCTTCAAAATTCTGATCCCATAGCAAGCTGCCGCCACTCTAATGATGCCACCCAGGTGCAATGCACCAGTTACACCCATAGGGTGGTGTGGCTCTGGGTATTCCTAGTTACTAGCATTTCTATGTAAAATGATTTTATGCCAAATTTCAAAAAATTATATAAATTTACATTTCTAAATAATATCTTTATGAACTAACTTCAATGGCAGGAATCTCTTATAAGCAACTGAAATTGGGAAAAAACCAAATACATGTTATTTCTGTTCACTTAGCACAATTAAATACACGTTCTTACTCCTGTTACTGTGGCAGCTGCACTGCATGTCATGGATAGGACAAGAAGTGTGCACTGGATATTAGTCAGGAAGCCTGAGGGGTAAGAGACCACTGGGGAGGCGTAGATGGGAGGATAATCTCAGGAGGTATCTATAGGAGATGGGAGTTGAATGACATTGGATTTTGTTGGCCCAGGACAGGGTCCGGTGGAGGGCATTGGTGAATTTGGTGATGAACCTTCGGGTTCTGTAAGCCATCTAGTTACTTACTCAGTTGTTCATTAATATCAAATTTCCGGAGTGTATTGACCTAAATATACTGGTCATCAAAAAGGATAAAGGCTTGTGTTTAAACATTTAATTTCTGCAAGGGCAGAAAAAGACAGCTCATTTATAGCAAACATGCTACAGGTAAGATTCATGCTATTAAATAATCAATATAATATGAAAAAATAATTTATTAAATAAGGTTGAATTTTAAAAAATGTTTGATTAAATTAAATCAGATTAAATGCTCCCATGTTATTTGAACACAAACTCTTTATCATATAAAACGCAAGGTGTATATATACATGTACAGAACATTTACCTGAAAGAACACTGATGGATGGCTATATGGGGCTGGACTTTGGAAAGCTGGTTGTGGTGGGTACTGGGAAGAATTTGAAGGGTACACATGGTAACCTCTGGAATCTGGAGACCCGTGCTGTTGACAAAGCCAATGGTGAGATGCAAAGAAAAAGGATACATCATTAATGGATAACACACACACACATTAGAAAAGACAGAACACCAATTAGGAAAATATTTAACCACTTAAAAACATTAACGCTTCAATATGTAAAATCTTCAATAGATTAATGTCAGAAGCATAAATCATGACATAAATAATTTTTGTTTGATTTGCTGTCAATTAGTTGCAATATTAAGGACATTGTTACAATAACAAAGAACACTAAAAAATTAAATATTACTACTCTATTTGAAAATCAAGGTTCCACAATCGTAGAATTAAAGTCATCATAAAATGCATAGTCCTACCTCTGGTTATAATTTTTTTAAATAAACTATTCTCTTCCTTCTTATATAAAACCATGAAGCCACTTCAAGCATGCAAAAATACAATGATTTCTAATGAGTTCAGGTTTATTTTATAGGCATTTCTGAGAATCATCAAAACTGATTACACCCATCCCATTACTGTATGTAATATGTCCATCATTTGACAATTTGATTTTGCAGTAGAATTGGGCATCACACCATTATAAACAATAGTCTTGGAATTCCTTAATAAGACATTCACAGAATAGATTTATTATTGTGGAACTACTCACTGACTGTCAAGATCACTGCATGTCACAATGTGATTTCTCTTTGTGAAAAATCAGCAAATACAATGCTTATGCATTGTATACCAGAACTACAGACAACTTGAAAGCATCCATTCAGTCTGAATATTAGGCCTTTCATGATAATCCTGAACTCTGCAGAACTATCTGTAGTAATGTGTCAACAAGAGATATGAAAAACATGTCAAGAATGAAGGTAGTTACTTTGAGTATCTCTTACAGTCATAAAGTCATGAAGTCAAGATTAGAACTGTAGAATAATTCATTTTGTTTTAAGACACCAGTCACTATCAACTCACAAACACAATATAAACAGCCCAGGGGCCTCTGTAGAATCTGACGGGATACATGTAATACAAAATTAAGCTAGTAGGAGAATAGCAAAGTGTGATTATTTCAGCGGTATGTTATCAGACTTCCCTACCTTCAATGGCCTCGACTGACTCAGGATAACTTCAGAGGACATGAATTCCTATTCGAAAGTTGTTCTCTCTGAGTACCTCTATACGCTCCTTCAGTTTGACCCTAACCATTTGAATCACCCTGTATAATCCACTACTGATGCAAACATGCTTCAATGGGGAGAATAAAATATCGGACTTCTCAAGTGAGACAATTTGGGTGAGAAGCAGAATAAACTGCATACATACTCAAACACAACGCATAATTGAGGGGACAATCCTAAGAATGAAAGCTGAATATATACAAAAGCAGGCAAACTGAACACATAAAATGAGGTATTCCTGTATCAAAGTTGTGAGCAGAGACGGAAATGTTCAAATAATGAACATAATTTCTTGGTGACATCATAATGTCTGTCATTGTCTAATACAGTGTTTCCCTAAGTTTTCTGACAGAACCCTTTAGGCCAAAGAAAATAGTGATGAAATCACATACCATTCAAAAACATCATGTATAAAAACAAAAGAAGAGATTATGTATAGAAAAGAAAGTCACTAACTTTACAAAAGTAATCATCTTATTTAAGAATTGAATATTTTCCAGCAAAATATAAACACATCATAAACAAGGCAATCAACAGTAGCATAACTAGACAAGTGTAATGGGAGGGGTTTCACAAAACATTAATTTAACAGAAACAATTTTCTGGAGATATCTTGGTTTTAATTAAAGTTAATTTATTTTAATTCCTAATGTTAATGAGAAATCATCAATAATATATAATAAAAATTTGCAATGCAAAACATTCATACAGATTTATACCTGCAACGGAATGGTTTCTGACACAGCTGTTGGTACATGTTGCGGAATAGGCTGAGCCAGTTGACGATAACGAAGCCTTGGATCTTCCCATGTTGTTGTTTTATTAAAATAGTTGATGTAGTAACTGTAGACAAGGATACAAATTTAAACAAAAATATCTCTGGTTTTTTATGATATATTTACCATACAAGTTACTGATTTCAAAATCAAACTATGATTGATTAAACGTATGGTCAAATTCATTCCTAATGCTTCACTGAAAACACTGACAAATAGTTTTTCTGTTCCTCAAAAACTGGAAGAACATTCTATAATTAAATAACTCTTATAAATACAAAAAATACATGTATATATACAAGGCTAAGCTTTCTGGATGTGAAATAACATCTGTATCACCCATAAATAGTATGGGTATGACTGAGAATTAATGGTTGGTGGTAAATTATTGACATATATGAGGAAAAGCAGAGGGACAAGTACTGAACCTTGAGGACCAAAGTGTGCACCTCCAAGGAGTTATTCATTCCAAATCTGTTCTGGATATTCCTCCTGAAGTTTGACTAGTATTTGAGATACACTGCATAGAGGAAATGGCCAAATCCTTGGCTTTCACTTCTTCACAATGAAAATTTGCTTGCAAACAGCACTTTATAAATAATCCTGTTCTCCAGACTTAACCCCCAATAACTTCTTCATATTTCCCAAAATCAATAAATGTTTAAAAAGGGTCAGTCTTGACTCAGTTCGTAACATTTAATCAAAAGGATAGTTTTTAGAAATTATATCTTCTTTATTGACCCTATAGCTGTAACTACTTCGTTATTCTACTAACTTACTGTCTCCCTGTCCGGTGATCATATTTTCGATCCCATCCAGGAGGGAGAGGTCCAGTATCACGATTTTCTGCCATTTTTAAGTCTATCACCTGCAGCCAGAGAGTGACTGCATAAACTGAACACAGATTATCAACAGACTCGAACGGCCCCATCCATCCGTTACCAAAGAACACAAATGATAGACATGGTATGGAAAGTTTATAGAACTTATACTATGTATCATAGCACAGGTAGGTTACATAAGATCCATTTCATGGCGTGCTTTTGCACAAAAGAGGAGAAAGCGAGGAAAAACATTAGTAATGGAGGCATTTCATTGCTAAGCGTCACACCAAAATGATAGCGATATTGCTTCTAAGACAGTAACAGGCAAAAATGTTGAAAGCCCGAAAGCAACTTTTCTGTTACATCACCTACCGCTATAGAAGGGTGGCAAGGGTATAGAAGTTTATGGCATCATCCAATTAATCCACTTATGTGTATAGAGCCAGTGAAGCACAACCCAAGCAAGAAAGTAACATTTACCAATATAGAAGGAACAAGAAAGAGAGGGAGACCCCCATTAGGTGGCTTGATTGTGTAGAACAAGATCTTCAAGCTCTCTGAGTCCAGGGATGGAAAAGGAAAGCCATACATAGGGACCAATGGAAGCGCATTGTTGGGGCGGTCAAGGTCTGTAATAGGCTGTAGAACCCGTGATGATGATGATGATGATGTGGTGTAGTCACACTAATTAATATTTCTACTACTGACGAAAAACGAACTGCTAAGTTAAAGTAAATTATAGAATATATAGTATGCATCCACCGGCACTTTCACAGACTAGTAATTTCATCGTTCGTGAATGTGCAGGTGATACGATATCGCGTACGCCTCTTATTGCCAGTTGCTTCATTTAATCCTGCCTTACTATTCACCAACGATGAGAAGGCGAGACAGTTACTAGGGCCCGCGTATATTGTGCAAGCTAGAAGCACCGGTATGATTTCATGATGATTCTTACTAGACCCAAATCGAGTGGTTAGTCGCCGATTACTTACCGCTGTGGCCCGAGTTCGCCTCTCAGGGCAGTTTATGTGGAAATTTTATGGTGGTCAAAGTGGCCCTGGGAAAGATTTTTAACCGAGTTCCTTGGTTTTTCTCCCATGAGTATCATTCCATTGCAGTTCCAAATTCATGTTGGTCCCGTTAGCGGTTGCAGTTCCGTAGAGAACCATCTCATGCCTTAATAACAGTAATAACAATGGTCAAGCTCAACCTGGTTTAACAATTACTAAACTATATACTATACCCTTTTTTATTTTATTTAACAGGGCTAAGACTTGTTCATTATTTCTTTGAAAATAGAAACAAAGATATGTATTCATATTTGTTGAAAACCACATAACTTGCAGAGAAAATTATAATTTTTTAAATGTTGTAGAGTGTGTATTTAGAAGAAGTGTGCTGATATAAGTAGTGATGTATATCAAAGCTGGCATTCCAAGCAGTTATTCTCCAGTAGCAACCAATTCCTATCAAAAAGACACATTTATGGTGGATACAATAAACACAGGACACTTTGCTAAATTTAAAAATTATACTTCTAAATTTAAAGGCACACATGTAAATAAATACATATTGAATATGCCATTTTACTGCTGCCACATGACAGTTAGGCATCTCTCCTAATGTAAAGTCCCATAATTCTCCACACAGTGCCATTTCACAGAGAGGTTTGAGGTTTATGGATTCAACCTTACCACTGAAATTTCTGGAATATTACCAAAACACCCTTTTCTGACAATGTTTCATTATAAAATGAAAATCTGTTCAAACAGTAGTCATATAAGGCAACACAATTTTAGTTCATTTTCCAAACATTCCTTAAAACAAAATCCACACTATACTGCTGTAAATAATATTTCCTTTTGCCACAACATAAACTTGTGTAACTGGAATTTTATGGTACCACAAACAAATTAGGCCTTTTAGCAGGACTCTTGATATCCAGAGACATAAACATTTTTTTTACTAAATAGGGTAAACGTTAAACATTATTTTGCATTAAAAATATATTAAAAATTTGCCGTCAATCACAATTATAATATTGTTAAAAGATTAAAACATCATTTAACTTTCCTCATCGAGTTAATATATTTTTTAATATATTTTTAATAATTATGAATCACAATATGACGCATTTACAATATATTATTTTGCATGTGTTTTCGTAATTTTCCCTGTACCAAATCTCTTCTGAGTATCAAACTTGCAGGATGAACTATTCTGAAAATGGTTCTTAATGGTAAATAAGAGAAAAACGCATTTAAATGTCACCCATTCATTCTTAATTATTTATTTTAAGTTGTAATTTTTCACAGTTTAATTATTGACACAGACTCAAATACACTGGCAATCACGAGCTCTGCCTATTAAAAGACATACGTTACTACATCCAGACATTACTAAAATACTTAATATAATTGTATATGAAAACATTAAATTTACAAATGCTGTAGATAAAAAAGGAGTGGGGTAGTCAGCTGATGAGGTGGAATTAACTCCCTGGCACTCTACATTGCTTGAACTGAAGTGTTACATCTCTTGTATAAGCTAAATATGGGAACTTTTTAAAATTAGCCTTACCTATGAAGCTCTCTTGTGTTCACTAGTATGGTGAGTCACTTATATTGAACTTAATCCTAAAGAAATACAAGCTATAAATAGGAAACAGAAAATCATTTAACAATTTTCAGAATGGCTTCGGCCAAAACAATTGAACTATATGACAAAGAGCCACAATGACTATCACATGCTGTGGAATCAAAATCTGGGGTTCATTCCTTCTCATCCCTTTCCACCATGGCTAGAGTGGTGCTGAGGCACACCCAATCATTTCATTTCATGGGTATGCAGGTGGGTAGAGAATGAAGCTGATAACTTACATCCTTCTCAAAATACAAGCAATAACTTCACTTACCCAGTTCAAACACCACTTTTGTTCACTGGTCTTCCACCATTTTCTCAGTATAAGCTTTTATAATTTTAATGGCCTGTAAATAATTAATTATAAAAAAAAACATTGTAAAGGTTGATGGTCTCATATTTCAACATGGCCATTTCTGTCTACAGGAAAAACAACTTTATGACTGATGATGATATCTGAAAATATTTATAAGTCATAAGAAATGTTTTAATTCTGTGAAGGTGAACCCTGGTACACAGTATTAGAGTGACTACCCCCTTTTCTAACTTAGTTCCAAAGTCCCTGAGTGTTATAATACTATTTCTGTAAAATCATCTGTAACTTTCCTCATTGTCCAAAAATGATCTATCATATAATAATGTGCTTATAACAAACTGTATTGTCCACTGTTACTTCAATTCATTTACAGGTATATAAACACAATACACATTAAAATCCTAAAACAATTTAGGTACACATGGCTGACATTTACCACTATAGTGGGAGAAAAGAACACACGTGTATAAAAGTAAAATATTTCCATAAATATTCTACACTTCTAAAATGAAGACTGGCAGACATTAGTTAATGCCTATTTACATAAAAATGGATCTCACATAAAGGCAGATATATGGATAAAATTTCCACTATTTTCAATATTCTACATGCATGTTCCTTAGTCCCTTAAGTATGGTTTCTCATGCCAGCTATCATAAATATTTACTACAGATACAGTTGTATCCTCATACTACTTTATTTCTGCACATACACACATACACTTATTCTCTTATACTTTCCTTATCAAGTGCCTTCCTTCCAAGTCTTATACCATTCTTCAATTATACTTGTCCCAATTTTCCTGTTTCATGCTTTTCCTACCTCCCTTATAATATGAGCAGTCATTTTCGTTCCTATGGCCTTTACCTGTTCAAAATAAATATGACATTTGATGAGTAACAAGGGAACCTTATCTGTTCATCCCACTCCTTGCCATAATGGAACACACACACACTTTTCTACCATAACAATGAAAGAGTTAACAGTAACTCTGTTATCATAAAATATTTACCTTTTCAATTTAGTTAATTAACAATATATTTTCCTCTCTAACACATTACATCACCGACAGTCACAGAGCTACAAGGAGGAAACAAGTAGTTTGTATTGACAGTGGCAGATCCTTGGTTATCCCTACTAACATAGGGATAAGAAAACATTTCATTCAATTTCTGTTCAGAATATCTGATGCCATAAATAGCACAAGAAAAAAATAAAATAAAATATGCACATAGAACTCTTAATATAAAGCCATTTTTAACATGAATATCATCAACAAAGTGTTTGAAATCAATAAAATATGCCTACTGAAATATAGTAATCATTTTCATTATTCTTGTAACATTCAACAGTTTCATTTTGACTAGCTGAGATTGTGGAAATTGAGTTGTAATTATGGATGTCTTTGGTAATATTTAAAGTATGCAGAATGAAAGACCTAGACATCCATTACACAAACTGAAATTAATCTCTCTTTCACTTCAATAAACTTAAATACACTGTGTTCAATGAAGTGACAAATCCATAAACTGTCCAATAATCATTACAAAGAATGAAAATATTACAGCCTATTATGTTTAAGGATTTAAAAAAGAACTTCGTTATATATCTGCAAACTTTAATTTTAATGCCTGTGCCCAGTATCTGAGTTTCATATTTCATAAGTGCACACATTCAGTCATAAACATGTTCTGGCAGTAATTTATAGGTAAATTACTGCTCTTCTTTCTTTCAACTCCAGTATCACATTTTGTTGGTGTATATCCACTAATCAGATAAGGAATATTTCTTCAAATTAGGAGTAACTTAATAACATAATATAATTTTTCATAATTTGCACTTCTACAAAATAATGCAGATAAAGGCATCCAGAGTCCTTTCAAAATACCTCTACAAGAAATATTTACCCCTCAGAAGCCAAAATATATTTAAAACCATTTCCAACTTATTCCAGTTATTTACATAGACTGACTCCCATTCATTCTTGGTATGGAAAAGGTTGAACAGAAGCAGAATGGCACTCACATCAACCAGTATGAATATGTAGGGATAATTACATAAATTTATATCAATGGAATCAGTATACCTTTTCATTCATTTTGTGTACTACTACTACTTGCTCACCATTTGTGCATGTGGATGTTCCTTTCCCAGTAACAATAAAGCTTGCAATAACAGGATGTGATATATTTTAAATATTACCCTACGTAAATGTGTGAGGCAGTATCCTTAAAAAGCTAACAATTGTTCAGCTAGTCAAGAAATTCACTGCCTTTTATGGAACCAAACGTTCAATGCCATATTCACACTGATAGTTTAGTGGAGGCAGCATAACCAATGAATCTCTGGTAAACTTCTACCAAACTACATGGCACTACAACCCAGAAGCCAGCCATCTGTGTACTACCATCATGAGAACTTCAAAACCTACATTTTAACAAATACTGTCTTTGACAAAACTAATGTCATAGACATTACCAGTTAAATTAAAAAACAGGGATGATGGAATTTCTGGACTGCTTTAATGCGAATATAAAATGTGCGCATCAGAAGATGTTGTTACTCCCATGCTCTTCAAAATGTGGCAAGCTGCATGTTTCATCTTCATTACATACTTGTGGATGTTACAACAGTTCTACTCAACTTTTCTTCATTTACTTGTTGAATCCAAAGATGTTTGAAACAAAAGAAGGCGAATTCTACAAGGCACACATTTTAGGGGAAGCTGGGATAACTCAGTCAGTATAATGATTAAGCTGCAGGATAGATGACGGGTTTGATTCTCAGTAGGCCAGGATTTTCCTCATCACAAAAATGTCCAGACCAGGCCGGGGACCCACTCAGCTACCTATCCAGTGGGTACTGGGGTTTATCCCTAAAGGGTAGAGCAGCAGGGCATGAAGCAATCCTTTCACCTCATCTACTGCTAAGGTTAAGAATGCATGGAAATATCCCTCCTTTCCAACATACAACTGCATGGTGTGATGCTTAGTTAAGCACCTAGAACTTTAGCTCCACCTTTACGCATTTTAGATCATACAGAGGGTCTTGAATGTTAATACTTTGAAACAAAAATATTCATAGTACTGTGAATTTTCAGAGATTTTTGATATGTGGCAATATTCAGAGTATTGCCATGTAGGATTCCAACAGTGCATATCAATTTGAACTTTCTGGCTGGGGGGGGGGGGGGGGGGGGGTATTTCAGACAATTATGATGTACCCACATTTTATTGCTCATAACTGTGTATGCCAAAACCAATCACCTTCTTCTGATTACCACAGGTGCAAGAGAAATATCATCATGCACTCCTTTTAATGTTGTTCACGCAACTGCTTTACCACCCATTAGCAACTCATTTTCTTGCAGCCAAGACATTCTGGACAATTTCCCAGTGATGCCATGAAAATAATTAAAACTCTTCCTCCAATGGCTGCAGAGCCATGTCCATTTGCATGTTGTGCCTCATCAATGAGTGGGACTAGGTCAAGTGACAAACTTAACTGCAACTCCATTTCCTCACCATCTGGAGAGATCACATTGTCACCTTACAAATCTGTTTGTTCCCAGCGACTGTCTACCAGTGCAGTTTGTTTAGCCCACAGAAAGTGAAACAGCGTAGATCTCTTTCTTTTTAACCACTCCCCAGCAAACAAATATAAAATCTCACTTTTGGAATTCCTTCCTATTATCAGAGTTAAACCCCAAACCTTCATATCTGCTTCTATGCATCCAGTATGGTTTTCAGAATCACTTTAGGAGCTGAGGTTCTGATGGCTGCTGAATGGCAACAACAATACTATCTTGTCTTGCCTGTATAAACAGAATGAATATGTGATGCCCACAAAGATGCAGAAGGTTGGCATCTAGAGGTTATATATGATTTGAAGCTTTTGCAGCAATGTAACTCAATAAAATCTTCTCGGGCGATCAGCCATGTCAAATGGTTAAAAGATGAAACTGACATTTCAGGGGCCATCTCTGCCCCCATCTTTTAACCATTTGATGCAGCTGATTGCCCAAGAAGATTTTATTGAGCACCTTGAGGTTTGTCTGTAAAATTACGTAACTTGAACTGCATGAAAAAAAAGCAGGCAGCAATTTAAAGACAAAGATTCTGCTATGTGTCAATTTCTCCACTGGATCTACAGTGCTCAGCTCACAGATAAACTCAATACTCATATTCAGTCATGATCTTCTCTCTTGTCTTCTGAAAGAACCTTTTCTAAAGACTCCTTTCATTTCTATGCCCATCTTCCAAACGGGAATAGCTATAATGCTTTCCAAAGAATAAAATTAGACTATCATAAAAATAACTCTCAACAACAGCTAAACAAAGTTAGGAAATATTCCATCTTGCTGTCAGTGGTAGGTACATATGAACACTATGCTACCCAGGTTACTAAAGTTGAAACTGGCATCTGGTCTCACAGGTGAACATGCACAGGACCTGTACCGACTTCACTTCATGCATTAACATCTATATGTGAGCAGACAATGATTACTTTGCATGTTATTGTTCACTGTTGGAGGAGTCAGAAGAAGAAAAAAAAGACTGGTCACTTACAGTTTTCTGCACCAATAAACTGGTTAGGGTTCTATCAGCAAAATTAAATAATTTATTGTATTTCCTCCACCTCCAATAAGATTTCTGCTTTCTTAACAAATAATGACAATAAAATCTGTGATTACTTTTCACAGAATTATTTTATACTCTGTATTTCACATGCATGCAGTATGTTGCTTTAAAATTACATATTATTGCCACACCTACATTATTAAGTGTATACAAGTTTGAAAAATATGGGAAAATTGAAGAAAACAATTCTTGTGACATTTGTAATTTAAATGAAGTCAATATATACTGAATCACAATTCTCTTACATTTGACACTAAATATCTTGAGCAAAATATATAATGGTGATACTAATGAATATACTAAATTTCATATTCTGGTAATATAACACATAATGTGAGAACTACAGGGCCATAAGCTACAGAAAGTGTAACATACTAAAGGCATTTTGAATCCAACTCTGACATTTCCCACATAGTACCCAGTCATTTCTCAAATATCAACATAAAAAAAACTGTCTACAGTAAATAAATGTTGTAAATTTTCACACACTTAATGTACCATGAAAGTAATAATTAAATTTTACAAATAATTTAACACAATATTCTTAAGTGTTTACAGTAGTAGATCATTAAAATAACAGAAGTTCTATTAACAGAATTTATGCCACAAAATGGAAGACTGTCACATACTATTTTGAACATATCTGAAGAAACAAAAAATATGCGAAATACAACAATTATACTGTAATATGAATAATTAAAAATTATATTAAGAAATATTTGCTAATGGAAGAAATAAAATGGTGGAAGTAACAATTTAACAAAGAAACAGTGGTAGAGGAAGCTGGGATAGCTCAGCCAGTATAGTGATTAGCTGGATGACTGGGGTCTGATCTCCGATGGGGGCAGAGGATTTTTCCCCTAGTCTCTGTGTCCAGACTGGCTCTGGGGCCCACCTAGTCTCCTGTCCAATGGGTACCAGAGTCCTGTTCCGGGGGTAAAGCACAGCGCAGATGTGATGCTAACCACTCACACTCATCTAATGCCAAGGTCAAGAATGGGTAGGAGCTATACCTCCACTCCCCCCAAATGACCTACATGGCATGTAGCGGGACTGCTTTACTTTACAGCGCAGAGGTTCATGAAATGATAAAGTAGGCCAGAACAAGATCTCACTGATACACCACGCTTTCTGAATGTTCAATATATGTGATAAACATACAATAATTAAATATGTTGTGACACACTGGTTGAGAGACACTGATCTAATTCATATTACATATACCAACTTACAGTTCTAACACAATTACCTTGATTCAATTGCTGTTACAAAAACTGAGAAGAAAATAATGGTTCATGACAAGTCCCTCTTTCTCAAAAAGCAGTGAAGGTGCAGTACTAGATAAGTGACTGTTATGGGAAAAGGTTAGTGTATAAATATGTCTATAAAGTTTTAATGAAACATTTTCCAGATGAATGAAAACATGCAAGCACAATCCCTAGTTAACATAACTGAGAGCTGAAATATCCTAACTTTGATATACAAAAATAAATCCAAAAATGGAAAGACTCCAAGAAATTTATAATTCTGTTTTAAGAAAGTTTTACTCAACTTGGAAAAATATCTTACTTCAGGAAAAAGGCTGTTAACTAATAAAACCATGAGTGAGGTCACATGTTCTACTTCCTACTTGGACAGTTACGAAACGTAACTGATTAACTTTCTCAGATAAGTTGTTTCCTACAGTCACTCACTTTTAACATTAAAATAGTTTCTGTTTCACATTGACTAATTAAATGTTGAGTAGAAAAAAAGCTCTCTGGATAGGTGACACAAAACACCACCATCTATCAAGCATAATGCCAAATTTTTAAAAACATCTATCTGCTCTATCAGCCACCAAATATCACTTTAATGCAATGGTGAATACCGACTATTATGAGAAACTTGTGACAAGTTAATCCCCACCAAAGTTTAGATGGAGCACTGCAAAATTCAGTAATATTAAACTCACTAGACTGAATATTTTTATATTTAACACATGTAATATGTAACTGAAATAAAAAATGCAATTCGTATTTTATACACAAACCTGATCAACTGACTGACTTCAGTACATTCTGTGAGATGTGCAGAGGGAAGTTTCAAATTGTGGATTATGATCTGCCTTTCTGCTTCCTGTAAGATGTTTAAATGTTTACAGTTCTTAACTCTGTTTCTATAAACATATGAGTACTGATTTAGTGTATGAAACCAAAGACATAAAGTAATTCCTTCCAGAAGCCTCTGGAGAGATTCCCTGTATCACTTTGACTTTTATTTACATTACATTGCCAGCTATCAGTATAATGTTTACATCTCTAAATTCAGCATCATATCACAGAAAACATGTAACACTGATAAAGTTTAACAACTGATTCACAATTTGTACAATTTCTGACATATTTATTAATGCAAAGATAACTTCAAATGTAAGATACTATATGGGCATATCAGAGCTCAAAATGATGAGGTGAACAAGAATTTATCAGAGGTCATATTTGGTATATATATAGAAAATCCTTTTAAGGAATAACAAATTAATGTACGTCATATGTTTTGGATATGCTCGCAGAATCCAAATGTGATGCAAAGCAAACTCCCGTACTTAGAATTAATTACAGCCTATAGATTATATTGAGCAGATGAGATTCCTAAATTTGCTTCACAATAGACATAATGCATGAAACAGTACAGTACTTTCAAAAAAGGAAAGTGGACTTATATATTTTCACATAAATTACTTTTTAAAAGGGACCAAGATCATACCAGATATAAAGCTCTCTGAAACTGATACTGAAAATGTACAGCCAAGCAGGATGATCCATTAACACACAGCATGAAATGGTGATCAATTCATTTCCTTCCCTAGTTAAACAAATTGAACATAAACTCACAAATTCTGTGTTGAGTGTAAAATGTTGAATACTGGAATGGAATGAGGTTCTTAAAAACTGTAATATCAGAAGCCCTGAAGATGTAATGGTGTTTTAAGTTCTATAAAAATAAATTAAAAGAACATATTTTCATGTAATTTCTATCCATTCTATTCATAATCTCTGATAAATGCTTGATTTTCTCGAGCAATAAAATTAATTTTTTATATAGAAAAATTATAGTAATTACAAACTTGGTCTTCAAGTAGAATTTAATATTAAAATCAGGACAGTGAAGTTACGGTAATTACACTCAAAGCTATCTCTTGTTTTCTCCTCTTTTCCGTGATGATGTGTGACTTGGAGTTTTACACCGTGTTGATGTTAACCAAGGCAAAGAGAATTCACTGGAATAGAGTAAATTATGTCTTAATTTAGTTACCAACCACTGCATTAGGTGAAGACACAAAATGAATTGCTATTCAGAAATATCCTTACACCATAGTCATTTTGTAAGTAATCACTGAGTCAAGCACCACAACTGAAAATGTAAACAATATATTTTAATGTACAACTTTGGGTTTAAGAGATGAGCTGCATCAAATGATGAAAATATCAGCAAACTCTGCAAATGTGAAAACAGTGTACATTATACAACATTTGACATGGCTTATCTACGAAAACTGAAGTCGAACACTGAACTGCAGCAGCAAAGACCAAAGGATAAGACATATTTTAACACATCATATATGTCTTTATCAAAGGAAAAATGTACTGAATCCTGTAGCTTCCAATTCCAAAAAAAATAAATGACTGGCTAATTAACAAACGTAGTCTGTCAGCAGAAACACAAATTCACCTGTGGTACTATCTATCTATCATTCCACCAATGCTAAACCAGTTTTGATACTCGTAACCCATCTCCTAAAGATCCATTCTTATCCACGATCTTTATGATGGGAATTTTCAACCAAAATTCTAGATTTCACTACTACAACAAAGCTTCATGACAACTAGTAAAATTACTATTTTTGTATATCCTGATTGTCACCATTTTAACTGAATAATAATTAGTATTTTCAGAATTTGTATTTCCTCATGAACCCTATTTAGATTTCCGATGGTTGTTCCCAGATATTTAAATTCTGAAACATTCTCAAATAATTTGTTTAACAGTAAACTCAGTTGGCCAGATCATGCAAAAAACTAAAGGTGATCTAACTAAATCGCAGGCAAGTCCTCATTCATTTGTGGAGTGCATTTTGTAACCACAAAGTCTTATCAGGTATCAGTTCTCCACTAACTCATAAATAAATATAAAAATTGCATTTGATTTAATAGCATTAAAAGTTCTACCAACTTTTAACAGAATATTGTAATGCATTCCCACTTGGGACTCAAACAGCCATCATGAGTCCTCTGATGATTCTGAGTACTTATTATTTGACACAGCAACAGAAAAATTTTAATTCTCTTAATAGGCAGATGCAGTAGATACTACGTCACAAATGTCATAAAAGATGTCATCCCAAATCAGATACTGATATTTATCATAATGCATACAAACAATGTGAAATTAATGAATATAAGGGAATATAAAGAACAGATAAAGATAAGATGATAAAGTGCAATCTCTGAAGTTTTCTACTGCATAGCTTTCAAAAAACACCTTTCTTTAATTATAACCTGACCAAAAATTCCATCTAATCATTAACTACCTATCCTTGTACAAGTCACAGAAAATGTTCACATCATTTAAATTCATAAGATTAAGTTCTTTCCATCTGTACATTTCCATAAAAATCAGAGGCAGTCTACAAGTACTGAAAGTTAATCTGTATAAATGTGTAAGGGGTACAATATCCAGTGAATTAAGTAATGGCTGAGGAAACTAAAAAATGATAATTTTCACACACCTTACTGTAAACTTGGTAATTGGAAGACCAAAAGCAGCAACAGGTACGCTTTCAGTGATTTCCAGGTACTCAGCATCATCTAGCTGTGGCCATAAAGAACTAAGGGGTTCTTCTCCATCACTGTGACGACCACTGCTTCCTCCACTACCTCTCCTTGCTGATGCCATCTCTCGCAGTTTCAATCTTTCCACCTGACGCTGTTCACGAATGCGTTGCACATCCCATCTGCAATATGCTATAGTATTAACTTTTCTATAACTGTATAACACTTTTGCCGCACTTTTTAAAAGAACTTTCCCAACAATTGCAACTTTAATGTAAGAATATGATAAATGGTACAACTTACATGTTTTATAATACATGTTTCATGATATTTAGGAGCATTACCAGATCCGTCATACAAAATATTGACTACTACTGACTACTGTGAATACACCATTTCAGCTTGACACTGAAGTCTGTAAGTTTCATTTTGTAGGTTTAATTTTATCCAGGTAACTGCATAGGGGACATTTAGAATAAAATACTGAATAGTGTTTACCTCCATAACTGTACGGTTATAACTGATACCAAAACGATGAATGTGACTGCACATTTTTTTAGAACTTGTGCACTATTTCCTCACAATGGCCTTTCTTACTAAACTTTGAATAAAATGTTACATTTTTTTTCAGTTAAAAAACTTTGTTGTAACAAGAACATGTAAAGCCTAAGTACCAGCTTCCTGGGATTAAGCCACTGAACACAGAAGTACACAATGAAACAAACATGTCCTACACACCACACCCACACGTTGTGGGTGTGGTATTTTTCAAAACATGAATTAGTTTATAATTATGACATTCTGGGTTACCACGGTAGTAAAAGTTCAAACTGTGATCTTCTAGGTTGCAACACTATGTAATCAGAAAAGTGGTTAATTGACAATTGAAAGGAACTAGCAGCCACCACATGAAGGTACTTCTAACCAAGCAACAAAGGCAGCAGCTGCCTCTGAAACATTAGTAACCACCTACATGACTACATGATGTCACAATCCAAATGATCACAATATAAACTTGTTTTTATTTACTTCTGTAATTAGCATGGAACAGTAGTCAAAGCAAAAGCTGGAAGTATGTGGTAGCGACTCAGTGAACACAACAAACGATAAGCGTATTCATCTGGTATATTACACTTGATAACCTTCATTGATTATAACACAAAAGTTTGGTAATAATAATCGTACCTTTTTCTTCTTCGTTCGTCTATCTCTAGCCTCTGATGTCGCTTATTGAAGACTTCATCATCTAAATTCTCAGTGCCCTCCATTGTATAGCAGCTAGTATAAACCCTAAGTCTCCAACTAGGAACCTACAGTATCACAACAGAAAGGATTAAAAGTTTGCAAAAACAACCACATACAAAAGCTGTACAAACATATTTTTCTTAACACATGAGAATGATATACATATTACTAATTATGGTAATTAGACTACATAGAAGTTACTGTAATTAGAACAAAAAACACAATTCATACAATATATTCAACACCAAACCTCAACATGTCCATTAAGTTTAGGCTCCTCAATTCCCCATGGCAAATCAGACTCTCCAATAGGTGTATAGTAGAGTGTGTTTGTAGTCAGTACAGCTTCCTTCTTTGTGGTAAAACCTGAAATCAGCAAAATAAAACAATTGGAATGAGAATCATCTAATAAACTACATTCTCAGAAAGCTTAAAAGAAAAACTCCTCAATAAGCTATCTATATGAAAACATGGCTACAAGGATATCTTGCTGTGTCGCATGATGTTAATTTATTTTCAAACTTTAAAGGCAGAATTTTGAATGAATTTATGATTCAACAACTAGTTTAACAACTTTGTCACACTACAACATAAGTGGACCTATTAGCTTGAATTTAACATATTTCTCATTTAATTTTGTGTAGTATGATCACATAACGCGAATCAGCTCCATTCAGTAAGTAAGTAATAATCACATAACATTATTTTAAAACTGTTAGTTCAACAAAATTATTCTTGATAATTTTAAAAAATGTACAAAATGTGTATGTACTTTTCTTGCTGCAGTGACTTTCATTTATAGATAATTTCACATGTAAATAACACAGTAATTTTAGGAGAAATGTGATTCACATACAGCCATAAAGAATTTAACTCAATCAAAAAATAATGTAGGATTTTAGTTTTACTGGGTCTCTAAAAATATTAAATAAATAAAATATAAAGGTGTCTTAAAAGGAAAATGAAAGGCCAAGAAGTTCTGTAAGTATTTGTCCAACTACTAAACAGATAAACAAAATGCAATTAAAAATGATTACACTACAAGTTCAGTGAATTATCTTGGCCTGAATCAGTTCACTGTTAACACCTACATCACGCAAAGTTCAAATCAGACTTCAAAAAATGTTTCATTCTCAAACTTTACCACTCATCAAAAAATTGGTACATCATACATCATTTGAAACATTTATTTACTGATTACTGTATCTAGTGCTTAATGCTCATGTTTCATATTAAGAAGGTCCAGGTTCCAATCTGGCTATACTGACTTTCATGTTTTTTTCTCAGCACCTACAGCAAAATGCCAGGATAGTACCTTAAAATTAGGTCATCATCATTCCTTCCATATACATTTCAACTCATTATTCACTAATTCACCATTATACAGTCTGAGCTATTGACAGCTTGTTAATTAAACCACAAATAAAAAAGAAACCTTTTTGATTTGGCATATAATTAATGATCAAGGGAAACTAATTTATGTTGCTACTGTTAGTTGACCAATATGGATGTTAATAAAATTCAACTATAGACTTTTTTATTGTAAACTAGTAATATCACTAAATCCATTTAGTAGTTTTGGAACTGAAGCATCAGGACAGACAAGTATATTACTTTTTCTGACATTTTATAGAAGCATTACCACAGAACTGTGCAATTTGATGGTACTATCACAGCATTTGTGTGGAGGAACTCAGGAATACCATAAAGAACCTCAATAACCTCATAAATCTTCTTCAGTTTGAAGCAAGAATGCAAATTAGACTTTAAAGAATGGTTTTCTAAGTGAAAAAGGTCTACTGCAGACAGTTATACTGCTGGCAGACAATATCCTTCTCACCCAAACGACTGCTCTTTTGACACCAAACAGGTGTGTCATTTGTGTTAAGTTTCTAATATCCAGTGTTACAAGCCCTGTTCATACACAACACAGTGTGTTTTTGTTTTTTTCATAGAAATGGCACTACATACATAATATTCTATGCTTTGGGACTCCTAGGAACACACATTCACTATACCTTGAACTGGGTATGAGAAAGCTGACAGGCTAATTCCAGATTAGGTTTAATTTGTGACAACACAAATTAAGACTTCAAAATAATACCATTTCTGTATTGTAATATATATATATATATATATAT